CCCGCCTCGGCCTCCCAGAGTGCTAGGATTACAGCTGTGAGCCCCTGTACCCAGCCCACAATGCATAATTTTTAAAAATTCAATTATATGTACTGTAAAACTTCTTCGTTTTCTTAAGCTGATTTTTCTATCCAGAGGGAACCAACAGAAAGGTCTGTGTATCTTTCCAAAACTCTTCAATACATTTACAAAAATGGGGTCTTTTTTAAGGTTCTAGCTTTTTCTCCAGCACATGAATTATATTCTGTAAATTGTCCTACATCTTTAGTCCCCTTAATAACTTGAAAATATATTCTTACGTCAGTATATATAAATGTGCTATGTTCTTTATAGTGGCTACATTATGTTCCTCTGTTGGTGGCCACTTAAGTTATGTGCAGGTTTTGGCTGTCAGAAACAATGCACAATGAACACCCTTTGTGACTTATCTCTGTGAACCTCAATTTTTGTGTAGTAGGTTACATGTATTTCAGGATATGCACATTTTTTTTTTATTTAGGATATGCACATTTTTTTTTGTTTTTATTTAGGATATGCACATTTTAAACTTGGACAGAGACTGCTAAATTGTTCTCTGAATGGATTATATTACAGGCCTACCACCTACCTGATAGTCAAACCTTTGATACTGTGACTGAGCACGTGAGATTCGTTATCGTTCATAAGATCTTGGTGAACATTCAGGTCATCAAACAATGCATACCTGCCATGTGTAAGGAATTGTTAGATTCTTGTGTCACATTTAATCTTACCATACAATATTAAAAAAAAGTACAGTAGTAAGTGTATTTATTAAGCTTTTAATATGTGCCAGGCACTCTAAAACATTTGATATGTATTATACTTTATAAAAACAATTCTAGTAATTATCTTTGATTAGGAAATTGAGATGCATAAAGGATTCACTGAATTACTCTAGTTTCACAGCTACTTAAGTGATGGAGCCAAGCAAGATTCAGTTCTAGGATTGGTAGACATCAAAGTCCAAGCTTGACTTGGGGATGTTAATTGAGTTCACATTCGTAAATTCACATAGAGTGACACGTGGGCGCAAGGGCTGATGCAGAGCAATGAATAAGGTAGAAGAGGATGCGACTGACTTCACATGGGGCAGAGAGGGATGGGGAAGGGATATTGATCATGTCTCTAACTGGGCTTCCTCATTTTCGATTTTGTAATAGCATTCCCACATTTCCTATCAAGGAGATATTAAACCTGTGATCTTGAAGTAATCTTTAATGACTTCTTTTCTCTTCTCACCCTGTTTCATTCTCTCAAACGATTGCTGCTTCCTCTGCATGAAGTCTTCCTTTGTAATAAAACCCAGCTCTAGTTACCTGCCACGTTACCATTTGAACTTTTTCAACAGTCTTAACTCTTACTTAGATTCCGTACAAACCAGTTCATCTTAGACACTACAGACTAATCCAACAGCATAGTTTTGGTCATATTATTATTTCACAACATTTATTCAAAGATAGTGCCAACAAGGAAGTGTTGAATGCTAGGGAGAGTGAGCAAAAACAATACCATTCAATCTACCTTTATGGAGCTATAATGGGGAAAACAGGTACATGGACATAACTGATAAGGGTGCAAAAGGGAGGGCTACCAGTGCTCCACGAATCTGAGGAGTTAATAGAACATAAGAGTGGTCAGGGAGGTGAC